TTTCATACAGCCAAGACAAAAAATGTGCATTTAGAGAGGTATTGCATTTATGGAAGTTGCATTTAGGGAGGTCCAACTATATACGAATATTAATAATTCTTACTACGCAAAGTAAAAAGATAGAGCCATTTTATCTGTAATGACTTACTATTATTAGTTGTATTACAATATACCGGTTGCAATTTGAACATTATTTAATCTATTACTAATATATTAAAGAGATCCATCTTTCATACTCTGTAGCTTTAAGTTAAAATCCTTTAATACAATCCTATTTCTACTTGTGCTATTTTCTGAGAATCACACATTTGGTGTTAGATGTATTACCAGTTGCAATTTGTACCAGATCTATTTTAATCTATTAAAGAAATCTATTCAATTACGCTTTCATATTTTGTAGCTTTGAGTTGAAATTTCTTAATGCAATTATCAACATCCCTATTTTACTTGCCACTTTTGTACTGTTTTCTGAGGGTTACTAGACAAGTTGAAATTCTTTAATGCAATTATCAATATCTCTATTTCTACTTATCCATCATTGTGCTGCCCTCTGATGGTCACATATTTGACACCAGACGTTAGTTGAGTTATACTAGTTGCAATTTGCATATATTTTATTAGGTCTACACTTTCATATTCTGTAGCTTTAAGTAGAAATTTCTTAATACAATTATCAATATTCCTATTTCTACTTGCTACTCTTGTGCCAGTTTTTTGAAGATTACATGTTTGACACCAGATATATTTTTGTATTCTGCAGCTTTAAGTTGAAATCTCTTAATTATCACTATTTCTATTTCTACTTGTCTTCTTTTGTGCTATTTTCTAAAAGCCATATAGTATGTTTGATACTAAACATTAGATGTACTATACTGGTTGCAATTTGCATATATTCTATCAGCTCTATTGAGTTTGAAACCAAATACTGTATATTTTAGGCCTAAAGTATAAAAACACTTTTTTGATGTCTAATTCAAACATATTAGAATGGTGTTTCTGCAAAATGCACTTGCTAATACTTTTTTACTTAATAATTCAAAGCTATTATTATGTACCATCTGAATCTAACAAAAAATTAACGTAGTATTCTTGGAAAGTGAACATGCTAAGATTATATTGTACCTATATTTTGCAGAGTAAAGTATCTACATAATATAATTTTTTTTATATATAAAAATTAGATATTACAATTAGTACACGTTATATTCGTGTAAAGCAAGCATTCAAGATCTACACTATTTGGCGCAAAGGATACTTTGTTCT